CTTTATAACTTGGAATTCTGACTTAATAATTTGCAATTCTGACTTTATAACTCGCCATTCTGACTTAACTTGGAATTGTGACTTTATAACTCATAATACTGATTTTATAACTCATAATTCTGACTTAACTCGAAATTGCAACTTTATAACTCATAATACTGACTTTATAACTCGCAATTCTGACCTAACTCGGAATTGCAACTTAATAACTTGGAATTCTGACTTAATAACTTGCAATTCTGACGTAACTTTGGAATTCTGACTTAGCTCACAATTCTGACTTTATAACTCGCAGTTCTGACTTAACTCGTAATTGCGACTTTAAAACTCAGATTTCTGACTTAACTCGGAATTCTGACTTACACCGCTATTCTGACTTAATAACTCAGAATTGCAACTTTCTAAATCAGAATTGTGACTTACTCGTTATTCTGACTTAATAAATCAGAATTCTAACAATTTAATTTTTAATAAAGCGAGAATGGGCTTTCATAATACTCAATGACCTTTGTGATATTAAATAAACAGTGACAGGTTTGCTTTCCTGCACCTATTAATGCATGACCATGAAAGACTGCATGTATCTTTTATTTTACTGTTTAACTTCCATGTGCGAGCCAGTGTATAATAAAAACTAAAGTATCAACCAAATATTAATGTCTAATGATGTTATAGCTTAACATTGTGTGTACGTTACCATTATGACGTCTATCAGACGTTGGATTTTGGTTGCCATAGCTGACGAATAAATGTCAGTATTTGACATCAATATGACTTTAGTTTAAGATGTTGGCTCGACATTGGATTTTGGTCACTTTCTAACACAACCTAAATCCTTAGACGCTGGCTAGACATTGAATTTTGGTCACCTCGCATCACAACCTAAATCTAACATAATATTAACATCTCATGATGTTGTGTGCCTTCTGGACAATAACTAAATGCACTACAGAATGTTACGTTTACACACATCCACAAATTACATGTAAATGTATCAGCTTTGTACAGCGTAATACTCACTACTCATGAGTACTTCTGAAATGTTTACTTTTTACTCATACTTTAATATTTACAACAGTTACTTTTACTCTACTTGCACTACATTTTTAGGCAAATATTGGTATTTGTGTGATTTTTCAGTATTTTTCCCACCACTAGTTAAATATACAGATCATAGCAATCAATTTCTCAACTATTAAAGGGCAGACCCCCCCATATATCGTTGGTGCGTTAGACATGAAGTGCTTTTTTAAAATGCTTTCATCATCCAAAAAAATCTGAAATATTAATTATTAATCCACACCCCCATACATTTGAATGTCTTTCAGGGGGATCAAGCATTAATTAGAACTCCCCTGTAATTCACACCCTGAGTTCAAGTAGAACTGATAAATAATACCTAAAAGTGTAAAGAGTACACACCACACCATACATGAACTTTGTACTGTATAAATACCACTCCTTTTGATCAAGTTTTATTGGTAGATTTCTTAAAAGTGTGCTTTGAATGTTTTAGAAAGGACTTCAATCTTTGTAGAATATAACAGCTGTTCTCTCTAATAAAATTAAGTGGTTAACTTTTGAACAAGTTTGTTCACCTTATTTAAACAAGTAACCCCAACTTTTTAGTAATTAAAGGTGCAGTAGGTGATTGTCTCCATTTTTATGTTTATTTTTTTTGTGCTAGTTGAAAGTCTCTTCACATCCCAGTAGTAATGATTAAAGTAAACGATCTGAATGTATTTATATGTATTTTTATATTCTGGGTAAGGCATAACACAAAAACAATGTTCATCCAATTAAATATTGTCGGGCCAACAATTCCCCTAATTCTGATAAGTAGCACAAACGCTCTGTCAGCAAATGTAGATTTGAACAACTGCGCACCCGTTCACGCATGCACACGTGCAAAAGAGACAGTCGCGGTAAAATCAAATGCTGAATTAAAACCCTGAATCAACATCGGAGTTAGTCTAGTGATGCAAAGCTGATGTAGATTGTGTTGTTCTGAATGGGTTATATGCACAGAAGTGTTGTTTAGCCACTGAAAGATTGATGTGACTATTTTCAGATTCATAGGGTCCTTTTACAGCATCAACAATGCAGATTTTATTTAGTTTAACAAAACATCAGTAAATAGCGCTATTATAATATATGCTGAGCTAGTGTTGTTCGCATACTGATAACTTCCGGTGACCTGTTATTGTGAGTTTTTTTCATTTTATACGGTTCCTTTTACAACATCGATGTTGTAATGAAATTCAAATACAATCAGTTAAATAGACTTTGGCATTCATTTAATTGCTCAAGCGTAAAACGAGACAAAAAGCCGCTTACTCGCACACGCCTATTATAATGGGCAGAGGAGCACAGAAGCTCCATTGAATACACTGTGGTAAATTAAATGCTCATATTATAAAGACATGGCAGGGAAAATGTAATTTAATGCAGTGCTTCTTGTACAATCTGAGACCCACTTTATATCGGATATCACTCAGCCAGTGGAGATCGCTAATTTATAAAGAAAACAGACCTTAAACGAGCCGTTTTTGCAATAGCATTCAGTTCACCGGAAGCGGTTAACCCAGGTTACTGGCAAATTAAAAGTCCTATCAGCATGCTTCAGCATTAACCCTATTCCGCCAGCCTGCTTTACTGAGGTGTAGTTGGTTTTATATTCACATTGGGTCATTTTTGATCAACGTCAGCCTGTGACGCGCTCCCTATATCGTTCACCATGCTGCGCTCAGTAATAAGTGTAATTCGTGCACCCCGCCAGCCAAACACTAAGCATACAGTAGTGGCTTTAGGACAAAGCATGTGAGATATTGAAATACTGCTCATCATGAGAAGTTTTGCTTGCTACACAACTGAAAACGTGCTAGACATAAGAGTTTTTCATTGGGAATTGTAGTATTATAAAGTACTATTAAGTTTTCTAACTGGTAAATGACATGATCTAGGGGATTTTTTGAACTGTCTACTCTAATGTGCGTGCATTTGTGTTCCAGAAGTGGCGGCTTTGGACGGCAAGGGAAAGACTGTTTCAAAGCATATTATTCTAACCGTTAGCACAGGGGTCAGCAACCCGCGGCTCTAGGGCCGCATGTGGCTCTTTAGCGCTGCCCTTGTGGCTCCCTGGAGCGTTTTCAAAAATGTTCAAAAAGATGGGGAAGGTTAGTATATATTTTTGTTTTTATATGATTTCCATAGGAGGACAAACATTTTTAACGTTTTCAAATGCTGTAAAAGTGTGTAGAATTAATATTTAATTTCAACATTTCTGTCAACGAAGATTAGCGTCATAGCCTGCGACACAGGTTTCTATCAGCAGGGCGGGATGCCAGGCAGGTGGCTGTTGTAAACAAACCGTGAGATAATAAAGCATGGAAAACCGTTCACAGATGGTGACTACATGAAGGAGTCATTCATCAACATATTAGAACACCTATTTGTAGACTTCATAAACAAAACCAAGATAATACAAAAAATTAAAGATATACCTCTCTCCGCTAAGACAGTGAAGGAAAGGGCTATTAAAATGGCAGGTAACATCACCGATCAGCAAACCAAGGACATTAATTCAATGCCAGCATACTCAATTGCCTGTGATGTGACCGATATTCAATGCGCTTTTATGCAGGTATGTGAAATCTGATGGACCGCAAGAAGAAATGATCAAAGTAACACCACTGAAAGACCAGAGGCTGTGCTGAAGTGTTTAAATGACAACGAAGTAAACACCAACCACCTGATATCAGTGGCTATTTAATCATGAAGGCTCATTATGTATTTGTAGCCAACTTGTTCATTTTTATAGTAGGCTAATATAGCTAATATAGATACATACAGCATGTGTTTCCTTTATTATAAGGCTTATATAAGGCTTTACATTTTTTGCGGCTCCAGACATATTTGTTTTTTGTTTTTTTGGTCCAATATGGCTCTTTTAACATTTTGGGATGCAGTCCCCTGCGTTAGCATTTTGGCAGATCACCTACTGCACCCTTAAGTAATTATTTATGAATGAATTTATATTAAAAAAAAAACATTTCATGAAAACACACATACGAAATTACACATAATCTGAAAAGATTTTAGGAAAAGTTTTCTTGTTGCTCCACTTGTGCTGCAAAAAAGCTCCACTGAAATACATTCATTGCATTTACAGCTATTTTTTAAAACACAGGCCTCGTCATTCACAGACATTTGCATCCAAACACACGACCATCCAATCAAAACATTCATTTTCAAAATCTAAAATGGATCCACATTCAATGGACAGCACATTAATACTTCCAAATAAAAAAAGCAGCTGCCATTCTTGGAGAACATATACTTGAATTGACAAAAAAATAAAAAAGCTCCCAGAGACGGGCTAAAATAGTCTTAAAAAGATTGAAAAACGTGTATTAGATACAACTCAGCCTCAAAATGGAGTCTTATTTCCTTCGAAATGATATACCCATGAGAACATTACAAATAAAATGATAATAAATCAAGGCCACGAGTGACGCTTTCATCCCAAACGACAAAGAAAAACCCATTCGATTCAATATGGTACATTAAAATCATGTATTAATGTCCATGGAAGTAAAAATAAAATAAACATTGGGGGTAACACTGAATGAAACGGAAGGTCTACCCTTCAGAGGTAGGCAGAGCTGTACATGATAAATCCTAAAACATTTCTCCAAGCAGAAACGGGGGTGGATAACAAAAAAAAAAAACTGTAAAATAAACACAGAATATTGCAGATATGCAGTGATTTAAGCTAATGCATGTGCTGGTGCTACAATTACCGGACATTTCAGAGAGAGAAAGAGAGACAAAGCATCATTTTTTCTTCTTCTTCTTCACAGAAAAGCAATTTAAAGCACATACAGTATTTTACATTTCAGCTATACGTGTATATAAAAAAAAAGAAGTAGTTAAAACTCCCCAAGTTTTAAGGACTGACATGGATAAATGATAGGAAGCGGTCAGTAACTGAAAGCCACAACTATAGATGGAGAATCAAAGAGTCGGGATTTACAAATATGATGACCGGATATTCGATTACACGTCATTGCGAATAAGAGAGCGAAAGCGAAACGGATAGGCCATTAAATATACAGAAAAATCTAGAGTAAAAAAAGTGATAATGAATAAAAAGCCAGCTCATCTATGAAACGAAAACGAAGGAGGAATGCATAATGGATTAAAACCAAAGGGCAAGTTGTGTTTTACAAACTTGACAGGAAAAAATATATATGTACAAATGTTATATATACACATATACACACGTAGTTGAATGTATATATCCGTGTTTTATAGATTTCTATTCTTGCTGAAGTGGCCTGGAAGGGCAGAGGGTCCCTTTGAGCACCAAAAGGAGTGACGAAAGTCCACTTCTGCACAAAAGCGCTTTACGATTAAAGTCCCCATCAGGCATAAACTTCACTCCGAGACTGGCGACCAATCAAAAAATGATCCTCGCTGTCGGATCCATAAACGTGTGTGTGTGTGTGTGTGTGTTTTTGTGTATAGAAAACGTATGCATACATCGAGTCATTTGTTTTAAAACATCTGTCTACACACCCCCCCTCCCCTCCCCTCCCGTCCCGAATAAAAGACGCCCTATGTGGGCAAGTCTGCAGTTTAAATCCGTATGGCAAAGAGTTTGTGGCAAGTTCTCCTTTCCCCTCCCCTTGGTGTGAATTTCCCCACTGCTTGAAAACAGTCAGGTTGGCAAGAAGTGTTCGTTTTGCTTCCACCTTCAGTCCGGGGGTAAAAGGTCATGCAGGCGAAATCGCTCTCTGATGTATGGACGAACATCCTCGTTCTGGAATACAATAAATGAATTATTAAAAACAGTGTAGTCTTTTTTTCTAAACCCACATCATACAGTTTAGACTAGACACAGATGATTGAATGTAATGTCTTTTTTATTTAATGCCATGTCAGCAACCAATGCTATTTTCATGGCAGAACACTTTAATAATAAAAATACAATTAAAAATAACTAATAAATGAATATTTAATTTAAATAAGATTTTTTGTGTTAATATTATATATATATATATATATATATATATATATATATATATATATATATATATATAATATGTGTCTATTTATTTTAATATAAATATATAAAAAACTAAAAATATGTTTTTGCTCGAGAACATTATAGCCATACTTATATAACATTTCTATTTAATAATCGTAAATTCTGACACCGCAATTAACACATGTAATAACTTATTGTATCGGGAGAAAATGTTTTTTTATTGACAAAATTATTAACAATAATGTAATCCATTATTATTACAAAATTTTAGACCATCATAAATACTTTTTTTTTTTATTTCAAATTAGTTTTTTTTTTTTTAAACGTCACATATTAAAGGTTAAGTCTTCACACTTATAATAAATTATAACCATTATAGTTAATAATTTTTATCATCTACACAAAAAAAGTTTGCTATAAATAAAGAGGGAAACTATTTCAAAAAACTTATTATGGTGTGGTTGGAGTTTTAAAAACAAATCCCTAAAACAACTAAACAAAATGCTTGATTTAAAAAACAAAAAAAACTATTATACTTGAATACATGAACTACAATAGAACAAAAAGTATTTATAGTACACTAGTCCACATTTTAAGTGGATCAAAACCTTCCATCAAAGTTGTCCTAAAACACCCACTCTTGTCTAGGCCTGAGACGAGAAGGATTTTTTGTCGTGTGATATATTGTCACAGCAATTGTTTCGATTAGCTACATTATTGTCATTTTGAGATCATTTTATGCCACTGGTTTTAGAATCACTATATACCAATATAATAATGTAAATAGCCATAAACACTTTAGAATACTTATTATTCTTAAGGTTATTAGGATTATATAATTTGATGGTAAATGTCCTATTATACCTAATGCCTGGTTCACACTAGAGCAGTGGTTCTCAAACGTTTTTTCATCAAGTACCACCTCAGAAAAAATTGTCATTTCAAGTACCACCAAAATAAGCAGTATTGAAATCGAGTAGCGTAGTAGGCCCAGTAAAGCAGCTACAACTCTGCAAAGTTAAAAAACGTGGCAGATTACCTCAGAAATATAGGCTAAATGTCATATATGGCACATTATATACATCATTTTTGATAAATTTTGAAATGTGTGTAGCATGTACATGACATATTTCATTCCTCCGCGTACCACTAGAAGGAAGCCTGCGTACCACTAGCGGTACACGTACCAGTTTGAGAACCACTGCACTAGAGGATTTTAAGCCTGATTTGAGCCCGATTTGAAAGTTAACGAGCTCGCCGACAGATCGGGCTGTGATCGGGAAGAAATCTGCAGTTGCACGGCGCTTGCCGCTCTTTATGTGTGAACTACTGAACAACGCATCAACGAGGCTCGCTGACGCGTCGCCGACACCTCGCAGACGGAAATCCAACATTCAGCATGCTAAATATTCCGGAGCAGTCGGCCGACTCAACCCCACGTGTGGTCAGATGTAGTGACGAGCTGCAGCCAATGAGAGAGCATATCAGCATGAGCTGAATGCCTGTGTGCTCAGGAGCTCAACAGAAACATCTGTGATTGGTCAGAATGGGCATCAACGCACTCGCTTCATTCTGTGTATGGTGTTAACGCAGACATGAGAGTAGGATATATTAACAGTGGAACTAGAATTCTGTAACTATTAGAATTACCATACTGCTCATTCTGACCGTTCTCATATAAAACGCCATACTGTCACAACATATTTACATTCAAAGCTATTATTGAGATATTAAAATTAAGCTTTGAATGTCTGGCATCATATTTAATGACACCATTACCCTAAAAATATCATCTTTTTTGCTAATACAGCCTATAAATATGTAGTTAAGATACTAGAACATGCAAAGAATGTAAACGTCATTGTAAAGTGGCTTTAACGTTATTTGTGAATTTGTAAATATATATTGCGACAGCAAAAATGATTGAGGTCCTCTCCAAGTTTTGCACGGTACGTTGATATATTGACAGGTCTACTCTTATCTTAGGACAAATTGTACTGACTTTAAATTAAATCCACTTCCAAGCCCTGACTACTGTATGAAAAAATAAACAAAACCCCGCATTATTCCCCTTTAAAAAGCAGCACACACAAAAGACAAGACGCACGTACCAGTTCCACCAGCTTCTCCAAAAACGGCACCAGCTTTAGGAGCTCATTGTCATTCTTGTCCACGAACCAACTCTCAATGGGGATCCCATTGGAAAGCTGCAACGAGAAAAGCACATCCTGAGCTTTACATACTAATAACCCGCCACCAGCACAACAGCAGAGCAGAATGTCCACAAACCTGGTAGGCAAAAGCCTGCGGGGAGTTATCGATGATGACAGTCTTGGAAAGATCTCGACCGAGGATGTTCAGGTCCTTAATGTAGTTCCCTTGAACACACACGCAGTGCTCACGAAACAATCTGTGCCTGAGACGTCACCAGAAAGAGACATATTCAGCTTAAATTTTCACAATTAAAGAAACCATGTTATTAAAAAGTGTCCTAAACACTGCTTTAAGCCCCCTACAATAGATTTAAAGCAGGGCTCAACAATAAGGACTGCCCGATGGCCCGGGGCCAGCGTGTAAGATGCTCGGGACAGTAGACAGGATTGTTACTGGCCCGATTGGGCCACTGATGCCGTGTCACTAAAGTTTAATTTGCCTGTGACTACTTGTCCATGTTTTGTACAGTGATGTTTTGTACAGTTTGACGTCAGTTTGGCAGGCAAGCCATCTTTTGTTTTGCACTAAAATGCCTGCACATTTTGCTGCTTTTGTTTGCAAAACACTTTGAATCTTGCTCATTGTACATTTATTAACATTTTTTAAATATTTAAATTCTAGATTTACAAACATTGACACATTTTTCTGTGTTTTAATTTGTGGCTAAGAAATAGATATTAACATTTTTTTTGGTAGGGACAGTGAAAATATTGGCAGGGCAAGGAAAAGTCTTAACCACTTGTCTGATCGGGCCAGTAGAAAAAATCCTTAGCGTTGAACCCTGTAAAGGCATCTAAAATCAAGACAATGAGTTTTCTCAGAATATGTATAAAGAGGACCTATCATGTCGTTTTTCACAAGATGTAAAATAAGTCTCTGATGTCACTAGAGTGCGTGTGTGAAGTTTCAGGTCAAAATAATCCCCATATAATGTTTTAAAACTCTTTGAAGCTGCCGCTTTTAGGCTTTGATCCTAATTGTGCTCTTTTGGTGGCTGTCGCTTTAAATTCAAATGAGATTGTGCGCTTTTCAAAAGAGGGCGGAGCTACAAATGCCTGTGTGTCAGCATAGTGGCAGGTTCAAAAACAGGAATAATGTTATCTTTTTTTAAAAAATGAAAACGTCATTTACAATGCCTCTTAAATCGCTGGCAGGTACTAAGCACAAACTAATGGCGGACAACTGCTTCTCACTCAGGGCTGTTTATGCCAATGAGGAAGAGATGGTCACTAATGGTCACTAAGTTTCTGCAGACTGTTTTGATCAAGTGTGGTTATAAAAAAAAAAAAAAAAATTTACGACTATGCTTATGCATGTTGCCACGCAGCTGTTCAAAGTGGTTTTATTAGAATTTTATATTAGAATCATTAAGTAAAGACTTCAATTAAAGCCTGTAGGGTCTGTAAAACTGTAAAAGCTAACTCTGCTCTGATTGGTCAACTGGCCAAGTCGGTTTTTATAGGTCTTTTTGCATCCATTCTGTGTTGGTAATGAAACAATCCTTTTAGAAAGTTTGCATTTAAAGTGCAGGTGGAGATTATGCAAACATATTACTTGTTTATGTACCATAGGTTGGAATGTGGCAAAAGATTCCTAAATATAATGAAACATGTGCACTATATTAGTCTACATATTCACCATTCTTTACTTAACCTGTTAGTAATTTAAGCCCAATCCTAATTCTATTTTTGTACCCTCAGCCCTTGAAACGGAGTGTGAAGGGGAAGGGCTTCAAAATGTACCCCTAAAAAATGGGACAGCACTGCAGCACCTGCACATGTCATTGAGATCTGTTACTTCATATGACATTGTTGTTGGCGCACACTGTTGCGTTATTTTTTGGTATTTATCTTCAGGAAATCACTGAAGGCATATATCAGGTTAATATAACGATATAAAAAGGTAATTCCCAGCCACTAGACTTTTCTGACAGGGTATTCAAGTGTGATTGAGTGTCAGATGTGAAAGTATGTTGTGGGACTGCTATAGGGGAGTTATTACTGTGGATTACAGATAGCGAAATTTAGCGGTTTTTATTTAAACGTTTTTATTTTCATATTGAAAACTGAACATGCACTTTAGACACAGTTGTAACAAATTATAACGACTAACCTAACCAACTGTTTTTTAGGGTCCAGGATGTTCAGCAGTTTGTCAGCATACACCTTCTTGGAAGCAGTAAACAGAATAATCTATGGATAAACAAAGGTGATTTTCATTAATGGTTTGATGAATTGAATGCTTTTTTTTGTTAGATAACTTCACATATTTAATAGTCAACTTTTAAAACATGTTAATTAACAGCACAATCAAATGCCTATTTAAAGATTTCATTAATAACGTCAAACTAAAAGTAAACAGCTCCGAAAACACATCACATACCTCATAGATCTGAGACATGCGTTCCAGGAATTCTCTAAAGAATGGCCGTAACCGGACGTAAACCTTTAGGTAGAAAACGAATCGGTGTTACAGAGAAACCCAGAGTGGAAACAGCACAGAAACACTGATATTGACGCTTGGTTCTGTACCTGGTAAATGACATCTTGAAAAAGAACAGGGAAGGTCAAGGCTGCGTCCTCCAGTTCATTGAGGCTGCAGTGAACCAAAGTCTCATCCTGGGATTAAAAACAACAGAGATCAAAATAAGCTTCCATTAAACAGCTAAGATAAATAACCAAGATAAGGTAGACGCATATGCGGTGGGCATCAATACAGAGATATAGTGTTGTCGGATGAAATGACAGAGGTTGCACAATCAGCTAAAATGTTGCTGACATTGTTTTTTTTATGTATATTGCATTACCAAATATATTGAGGTAATGTTCATGTGTGATAATTCAATATACAGAAGTCGCTCACCATAATGTGGCTCACCTTTCGTGGCCTCGCAGTTTCACCAGTTTTTTTTTTTTTTTTTTTTAGACAATTTGACATGCTTTTTTTTTTTTTACAGCGCACTGCATTGTGACCATTGTCAATCAACCTCCTCTGTGTCATGTCACCTGTGTAGTACAGATTGCGTTCAGCTTGCCAAATTAACATAAATCTTCAATCGCTAGCAGTGTGACTCTGAAGTGCTGTACTGTACGTTTGCAAGTTTTCTCTCCATAATATCCACGAAAAATTCTGCACAGTCAAAGAAACTGACGATAACACCCAAAAGACAGGGGAATTTGCTAACCATCGCACAAAAAGTTGGACTTCTGGACATGCTGAAGGAAGGCAGAAGTTACAGGAGTGTTTAAACGAGAGAAGAGTGTAAAAATGTAGAAGTGTATAAAGTGTGTAGTGAGGGGTTTTACAACCTTAAAACAGAGGTAGGGAACCTATGGCTCAGGAGCCACATGGGGCTCTTTGACCAAAAATATGTGGCTTTCCGGCTTTTTCAATAATATTTTAAAGTTTAAAAAATTATAGCTGTCACTAGAAATCAGTTTCCTGTTGTAAATACAATTACAATTCCCCTTTTATTGTATTTTCTACAGCAAAATGTATAAGAACTCAGTTTACAATAAAAGGACTTTTAACTAATGCGCTAATGTGGTCATGTGGTTTAACTTCATGTATTGTGATGCGTCATGTTTATTTTTGAGTTCTTATACAAATATATAAAAGTTATATAAAGGTTTTGTTATACAAACACAATGGCTCTTTAAAAAATGCATTTGATTTTTTTTTTTTTTTAATGGCTCTTTGCTAAAAAAAAAAAAAAAAAAAAAAAAAAAAAAAAAGGTTGTCGACCCCTGGCCTTAAAGCATCTATAATAAATTTTAGTGCTTCCCACAGGTTTGAAATATACTCGCGGTGGTGGCCGGATTGAAACGCACCTTTTAACCAAAGCACATGAAGTCAACTACATGCAAATAAACAAGAAAACAATGGGGTTTTAACTATATTTTTATTATGACACTGTTATACACATTTTCTTATCAATGGGTTAAATTTATTTTAAAAAAGGCTGTTGAAATTAAAGAAATCCACTATTTCTCTTACTTTAATGCTATTTGGGAGTCATGTGCACTCATTGACAGGTAAAGGCTTCTCTCTCTCTCTCTCTCTCTCTCTCTCTAAAGTTGCTTTATTGGTATGATATTTACATTACTGCCGAAGCATTTTAGATATGCTGTAAAATATGTAATATATTAACATCATTAAATTAATAAAATATACAGCAAATGAGGAATAAATTACATAGAAAAATAAAAAAATAAGCAATCTTGCTAAAAATTATAGTAATTACTAGAATTAAAGATTTAAAAAAGGCAAATTAGTTGATTAACCCTTTCTAATAGTGCACAAATATTTAGCAGCCAGTATATTTTGTTCTCTCCGAATATATAGTAAAGTTTATCAGAGTACTTTATTGAATAATTAATCCTTTAATGTTTCTCTGGCGGCTGTTCCTGCACATTTAGCTTCGAAAAGGTAATGTAAAAACACATACAAATAACGGCAACTTTAGAAAGTGAAAGCAAAAGTCGAATCACATTTTTTCTGGAGATTCAGGAACCACGGCCAGATGAATTTTCCACAATTATGCATCTCTGTGGGTCTGTAGAGCACGTGGGATTGACTATGCGAGTGGTGACAAGTCTCGCGCACACACAGAACCAGCAGTAGGAAACGTGCAGAGCGAGAGAAGATTTTCCACTGGTTAATCAATCTCGAGTTTTTGGCTTACTTGGGTGGATCCAAAAAAAAGTGCAAAGGGATGATAATAATAGCATTATTCATGTGTTGCCACCAAATATACTTAGTAGTGACACATGAATACTGTTAAAATTCTGTTAATATACCTGGGCGGCCTTCTGAAAGTAAAGTGTATTGGCTCTATTTTAACGATCTATGCGCAAAGTGCAAAGTAATAAGGGCGTGTCAGAATCCACTTTTGCTAATTTAAGGACGGAAAAATCTGCTTTGCGCCATGGCACATGGTCTAACAGGGTTGAGCTTATTTTCTTAATTAGTTATAGGTGTGTTTTGAGAATAAACCAATCCCATCTTGTCTCATATGAGTCTCATATCCCATTTTGAGTCAGTTGTGTCGCGCCATAAGCGCATTTGCCATTTACATGGCGGACTTTGTAAGTGGAAAAACTGAGCATTTCACAAGCAAGACAATAGTTAAACAGAGCATCTGCAGCGCGAGAATGAGAGATAAGCCTCATTATTTACTTTCACTTTCTCTCTCATGGATAAGGAAACGTGTTGTACGCACAGACATCCATAAACCTATGCACAATTAACTTAGTTTGTTAAGCGCAAATATTTGTTTCAAAACTATTTCTAAATTCAGTTCTAATTTCCAGCAAACAAATAAACAATAATAACAAAGTGTGCTCAAACAACTGAGTTCTATCCAAATACACATGCTGTGCCCCATATGGTCTGAAACCTGACAGGTGGACAAATCTAAGCTTGTTTTTAATAAAACAAATATAAATATGCATATAATAAATAATACTGCTAATAATAATAATAATAACATTATTCAAAAGCAAATTGTTACGAATAAACTGAAAAAGCCTCCCGAGATGAAGAAGGCATGAAAGTATGGTTTTTATATTAATGTAGGCTAGAAAATAATGTTTTTTAAAATTTTAATCCTTTATATTAATATGATATCCCCTTATATCCTATATATCCTCAATATTTTAATTATTTTTCATTTGTAAAGATATTTGCGTATAGCTCTACATCCTGTCTGCTATTAAGCAGTGTGTAAGCGAAGCGCACAACTAACGCGCTCTGCTGCTGTGACAGGCCTATTTGGATTAAGTGTTAAAAATCACTTCAAAAGTATGAACTGAATAAAATAAGCTTCTCACAGAATTAAAGCCAACACAATCGTATTAAAAGCTTGTATATCATCCTAGAGTGAAAAATTTGATTCCAACTGGTTGGAGAATTTATAAACATTTCAGTTCCCAACATTAGAGTTCATTTCAGGGAGTTTGCTTTGTGTATGTAGACTGTTTGTTATTAATGTGTAAACAAATGATTACAGACTCACTAGATCGAGAACAAGGGAGAACTCGGGCGTGCTCCTGGTTTTCAGAGGCAGCGCAGGTTTACGGGTGAGCTGCTCTTCAGTCAGCGGTGGCACGTGTTTGATAAAGAAATAACTGGAAGACAGACACATGTGAGCATGTGAATATGTGGCTTCATTTACTGACAAATTCAAGTTGAAATTTGACTCACGGATCAAAAACTTCCCAGTCCTCTTCATAAGTCCCCTCTGCAGGAGGTGATGGAGGGACATCTGGGTAATTGCTGTTGGATCCTACAGCTGACAAAGAGAGAGGATAGACATCTTTATGCATTAATATACAGGGTGCAACACAATTGAAAACTACAAGTCCAACACACTCAGATTCACAAATGTAACATGTGAAACTTTCCCTTGTGCTGCATCACACAGGTGAGTGGCTTGACAAACCACCTGTAGTAAACACACTCTTCATTTTAACCAACACTTGCACCAGACACTGGCCTACAATCACGACATAGCTCTAGATCAAACATAAAGTGTGCTTCACAGGTGAGTGGGCCTGACAAAACACCTGTAGAAACACTCTTACAAACTGTGCGCTGACTATTCTTGATCGCTGAATGCCTCCCCAATTGTACGTTGCTTTTGTAACAAAAGCGTCTGCTAAATGACTGAATGTTAATTTCAAGCTCCTTTGTAAGATGAATTGTTACAAGGGCTGTGCATTAAGTTAAGGCTGGTTTACACTTGTGCGTGGAGTGATCATCGTGACACACGGCACCTGCCCTGTGCGTAGTCGTGCATTTATACTTCTGCATGCTCTGCAATTACACTTTTCCTGAACGCTCACTTAATGTACAAGGAGCAAAAACCCCGCTCATTCAGAGGCGGGAACCAGTGGAAATGCAACAACTTTACTAAAGTAAACACAAAACAAGTTTCAATTTGGAGCTCCTGCACAAGACCCGACACTTGTAAACACTCGCTCCATCAGGCTCGTCACAGCTACCAATCCAAACAATCTCAGAGCTTGAGCTGCATGTCATTATGACGTGTAGTTTTTTGAGAGGTGCCCGTCAGCATCAGCCACAGCGAGGGGTCTGTGACCACGCGAAGGCTGCGCCGCAGCATACACATGCACTTGACGCAGAAGTATAAATCAGCCTTTCTCTTTCTATATTGAGATAAGCAGACATCTTGAAAGTACAATGTTTACATTAAGCATTTTATTTAGCAATATTTTTTTCATTTTTGTCAGACGTGTAGAAAAGCAGTTTTAGAAAAGCGCTTCATATTTTAGCTACTTTTTTTATATTACAACATTGGGAATCAAACATTTTTGTACTCAAAAACCAAACACTATTAAGAATAATCTATTACCAATTAAAACAACCTGTACCCCTCCTTCTTTCTCCTCGTTTTTTTCCTTTTATTTTTTTATTGTTCTGTAAATGTTGCTTTTCTTTTAGTTTGAAAACAAAAATGTAAATATGTATTATATTGTCACATTTTTGTTACATCTCAATAAAAGGATTGCTTAAAAAAATACAATCACATATAAATGAGTAATTTCCTGAGTATATATACTTCAAAATACAAAATAGATATAGTTCTTATACGTGGCTAAAGTAATTTAAATAATAATTGATCTGATTTACAGAAATTGTGCTATTTTGTGATATATATAGTTGAAGTCAGAATTATTAGCCCCCCGTTTATTTTGTCCCCAATTTCTGTTTAACGGAGAGAAGATTTCTTCTACATTTCTGATCATAGTAGTTTTAATAGCTCATTTCTAATAACTGATTTTTTTTTTTATGTTTGCCATGATGACAGTAAATAATATTTGACTAGATATTTTTCAAGACACTTCTATACAGATTAAAGTACATTTAATGGTTTAACTAGGTTAATTAGGTTAACTGGGCAGGTTAGGGTAATTAGGCAAGTTATTGTATAATGATGGTTTGTTCTGTAGACTATCAAACAACTATATAGCTTAAAGGTGCTAATAATTTTGACCCTAAAATGTTTTTAAAAAAATTAAAAACTGCTTTTATTCTAGCCAAAATAAAACAAATAAGAATTTCTCAAGAAGAAAAAATATTATCAGACATGCTGTGAAAATTTCCTTACTCCGTTAAACATCATTTGGGAAATATTTAAAAAAGAAAAAGAAAATTCAAAGGCAAGGCGAATAATTCTGACTTTAACTGTTTATACACATTGTTACATCCCAGAAACTCACCAGTCAGAGGTGGCATATCCGCCTCTGTGACGATCTCTCCTTCCTCTACTGTTGTGTCTATGTGAGGCAGCGGTCTGGGGTTTAGTGCAGGGTCAAAGGTCAGGTCTCGGCCGTCTGTGGTAGTGCTGGTCGGGGTTTCTTCAAGCTGCTCCATGTCAAGCTGCTTCACGATCTCCTCAGCTTCCACCGCCTGGCCTGGGGAATCGGAGCCTGCCGTAGCTGGAGGACGGGGACAGGGCGATTAAAAACAGCCCACACAATTAAAAATGCTGCAATTTCATTAATAAATGCATTGTTTTGGTTCAGTTTGCAGCAGGTGGCACCGGTTTAAATGCAGCAGCTGGACATGACGGTGATGAAGATTCTGCAAGAACGATTAAGCTGAGAAACACTGAAGTTTGATTTAAAAATACTGCTTCTTATATATGCTTCTGTGAATTCTCTGATAGTCTTGATCTGGTTTTATGGTCCTCTTTTAGACTAACGATAAACAGCATTCCCAGTCAATGCTCCAGCTGTTATTCATCCTCGAGTTCAGATCATTTAAAATGGAATTGGTTTTGCTTTAAAAGAGACTCTATAAAACGTCAGATTTGAAGATAATTTAATAAAGACGTCAAAGGGAATATCAAACTCTGAAATTCTGAGGTCATTTGGGCCCAAACAGAGTGTGACAGAGGGACACCCTGAAATATATAAATAAATAAAATGTATATTTAAAATAAACATGATTGTTCAATTCTCAACATTTGATAAATAACTTGGATGGAACTAAGATCTTAATGACTAGGTCATAAATATCTTGGTGTCTCTTAGCCACATACAAAACATTCATCAGCTGACAAGTGAGATCACGGGTGCTTACCGTTTTTGTTGGCGGGCGAGAAGAAGCTAAAAACAGGAGAGAAGATGGTGCCCAGGAGAGTGGTGCGAGGCGGACTGCTCGGAGTCTCCGCCTGCACCTCCAGCTTCCCATTGGGCTTTACTGGTTTATTCTGACCTGTCATGGTATCTGAGCAAAAGAGCATGAAAATGTTAAAACACCAAGAAAACAGACAGTCTTCATGACACAGCTAAATTACAACCAGGTCTCTGAAACGTACAGTAGCCTGATTACAGGGCTAGAATGTAACTAAATGATTGAATCAGAAAAAAAAAAACATTGCACAACAATAAAAGTCACAAAGCATTTCAATATGCAAATCACCAACATTTAGCAAGCATTTATAGTAGCAACACTAAAGGCCCTGGTATACCAGAAACAAAGTTATTGTTTGTTCTTCATAATAAGTTTGAAAAGGCTGGTACACCGTTTATGAATCTGCTGACACACTCAGGGGTTTTAAATGTGTTGCGCTGCTTGAGTGTTCTGCCAAACATATGATGAGGTGATGAACTGCAAGCTTTGGATGTTAATAACAGGTTTATTTCTTCAAAGCACGGATTGTGTGATCGTTTTGGAGCCCACTAGCTTATAGATATGCTTAAAACTAACATACTGAAACTGACATCAATAAACATTTATTTTAATTTCACAGGAGCTTTAAATTCAACATCCTAATTCACATGTTGTCTTTTGCAGCTTAAAAAAAAAGAATCATCAACATGAAATCCTTACATTTTGAATCAACTAGATCTCAATTTACATTTGATCCTGAAGTTTAAGAAACAACTACAACACCGAAAAATGTATTACTCAAAAACTACAGTTAGTTTAATGTGCATATTTGTGTTATTGTGTTTATCTGAGATATTGCTTATAATTTGTTTATTTTATTCTTGAATTATTGCTTGTGTTTTACTTACTTTGTATACGGAAGAGGGAAATTAATCCAGGTGTCTAAACTGTGATGAGCGTATTTATTAGAATATAACATAAAAACACAATAACTAAAAAAAAACATACATATATATATATATATATATATATATATATATAGAATTTTTTTTTTTTTTTAGCAGAACCAGTAAGAAATGAAAGAAACTACATACACTACCTGACAAAAGTCTTGTCGTCTATCCACGTTTCAGGAACAACACAAAATAAGTTGACTTCTAGTTGATCATTTGGTATCAGAAGTGTCTTATATGAAAGGCAAAGGCCTCTAGATTACGCTTATTTTACCAAAATAAAATATGATCATGCCTTGATTTTTTATTTAACTAGGACAGTAAGATCTGACTTTGTTTAGACAGAAGTCTTGTCACTTAACAGAAATGATGTCCAGTATAAAATATAAAGTCATGCTGCAGTGGAAACAGAATGAATATTGTGTCTGACTCCATCATGAGCTTGGAGGACTGCATCCATACATCTCTGCACTGACTCAAATCACTGATTAATAAAGTCATCTGGAATGGCAGAGAAAGCGTTCCTGCAGGACTCCCAGAGTTCATCAAGATTTTTTTAATTCATCTTCAATGCTTCCATCTTACCCCAGACATGCTCAATAATGTTCATGTCTGGTGACTGGGCTGGCCAATCCGGGAGCACCTTGACCATCAGGGGCTTTGATGTGGAGGCTGATGTATGAGGAGGAGCCCTATTCTGCTGAAAAATTTGCCCTCTCCTGTGGTTTATAATGTAATGCGCAGCACAAATGTCTTGATACCTCAGGCTGCTGATGTTGCCATCAACTCTACAGATCTCTTGCACACCCCATACTGAATGTAACCCCCAAACCATGATTTTTCCTTCACCAAACTTGACTGATTTTTGTAAGAATCTTAGATCCATGCTGGTTCCAAAAGTTCTTCTGCAGTATTTGTTAGAATTGGGAAGCAGTAGAAGTCAAGTTATTATTTGTTGCTCTTACAACTGGGATCGACGAAAAGACTTTTGTCAGGTAGTGTATTGCTGTTTTGTTAATAAAATATTAAAAATAGTACTTTCAAACTGAAACTAGTGACATTCAAAATAAACAGTATTTATTATAAACATCAAACCTAAACTAATTTATATAAAACGTACACTAGTTTTTTCCTTAGTATTTAAAGGCATAGTGTGCTATGTGTGTTATTATTGTATGATTCAGTGGAACACCAATGGTTCATTTTAATAAGAACAGAGAATATTTAAGTTGTCCCAATTTCACATACACTGTTTTTTTAATAATAATAATAATAATAATAATAATAATAATAATCAAATCTACATACAAATTCAAACTACTCATTTAAAACTCAAAAGTGCATTTTTAAAATACAAAACATGTAATATCACTTGTGTGGTGACACCAAATGTATTAATGTTAGTCTGAGGCCCTGCTCAGCATCTCTTACCTCCATTGACAGGGCCTTTCCTGCGGGTTTTGGGGTTTGCTCTGCTGGGCAGGTTTCCACCGGTCGGAGTGGATGTGATCAGATTACTGTCTGAATCACAGTCAACACGGCTTCTCTTCGCAGGAGTGCACTGCTCCACCTGACACAAAGACAGATCGATCAATGAGTCCTGCCAACGTCAATTAGAGCAGTTAAAACGCATAAACATCATCTGAATATTAGACATATGCCGATGTTAAATATATCTTGATAATGGACAATATTGATACCGTGGACATTCAAAAATACTGTAAATAATTATCTATTAGTTAAACTTATTAGTTAAATTAATAGTTTTTTTAAAGAATATTCAGATTGTTGTATTGGCAGTGGTTGCTCATTACAGCACTTACAGTAAGTGAATTAATTTAAAGCAAACATTTTCATATTAATCTGACCTAGGGCTCTATTTTGACGGTCCATGCGCAAAGCGCAGGGCACAAACGCTTTTAGGGCTTGCCAGAATCCACTTCCTAATTTAAGGATGGAAAAGTCCTCTTTTATCTAAAGGGTTGAGTTTATTTTCTTAATGAGTTATAGGTGTGTTTTGAAAATAAACCAATCAGAGTCTCATCTCCCATTCCATCTCATCAGTTGCGTCGCGCCATGGCACATTTGCTATTTACATGACGTAAAGAAAGTGTAAGTGGAAAAACTGAGCATTTCACTAGCAAGACAACAGTTAAACAGAGCATCTACAGCGCGAGAATGAGAGATAAGGCATCTCATAATTTACTTTCACTTTCACTCTCGTGGATAGGGAAACCTTGTACGCACAGACATCAATTAGCCTATACATAATTAATTTAGTTTGTTAAGCGCAAATATTTGTTTCAAAACTATTTCTAAATTCAGTTTTAATTTCCAGTAAACAAATAAATGAACAATAATAACAAAGAGTGGTCAAACAACTGAGTTATATCCTAAAACGCATGCTGTGCCCCATATGGTCTGAAACCTGACAGGTGGACAAATCTAAGCTTGTTTTTAATAAAACAAATATAAATATGCATATAATAAATAATACTGCTAATAATAATAACAACATTATACAAAAGCAAATTGAAAGAACTGAAAAAGCCTGCCGAGATGAAGGCATAAAGGCAGTGATTTTTCATATTTATGTAGGCTGGAAAATAATATGTTTTGTAATATTTTAATCATTTATATTTATATCCTATATATTTATCCTTATTATATCCTATATATATCCTTAATATTCTAATTATTTTTCATATGTAAAGATATAGATAAGCAAGGCGCACTTTGCGCCGGACAATAGACCGGCTTTGTTCTGGTCTAAAGAACAGACTATTATAGTTTCTCAAAATAGCAAAGCGCCAAAACACACCTGCTTTTTTAGACCAAAATGCCTTTGGGAGCACATATGAGCGCAAATGCATTTGCTGTTTAAACAGCATGGTGCAAACGTCAAAACGACTCTTGCACTGAGCTGAAACTAGCAAATAACAATTACGTCGTGCCTTGCGCCACATTGCGCCGGGTGTATGATAGGGCCCATAGTCTGTCAGTTTTTTACTAACATCAATGTATTGAAAACCACAAAACCATATTATTAATCTCAGGTGATTTAATCGTTTAAAAATAAAATGTAATTAATAACAACAAATAGATGTGAATTAGTAACTAATAAAATTCAGTTGTCTATTATAGTCTGTATTTTTCAAGATTACTTTAATGAGCATGCATTCAGAGGTTTATTCATTTTTATTTAGTGTTGTATCAGTTTATATAAATAACACACATTAAGCTGCATTCACACCAGACGCAGCACGCACGTCAAGCGCGAGAGATTTACATGATAAGTCAATGCAAACGCGCGAATAGACATCCTGTGGCGCGATATGTGCGAATGACGCAAATTGCGTGAATGGCGCGGGACGAATTGAGCGTTTTGCGCGTTTGACGCACTTAACGAGTGTTTCGCGCGAATCTCTCAATTTCGAAAATCTGAACTTCAGCGTACATTCGCGCTGCGTTAACCAATCAGTAGCTGGCTCTTGTGGGGGCGTGATTGTGACGTAGAACCTGTTGTCGTTGTTCCGAGGGAAATCCTCCAGCCTTCACTGACAACAGTTCATCAAACTCGGTTTGGCTCAGTCAGAAGCACCGCTGAAAGCCTCCTTCATCCAGGTTAAGTTTCTGGAGGAGTTTATGAGCTCACAGAGCTAGATGCACCTCTGAAAGAAAGTAATGGACTCAGACACGACCCTAAACGTATCGACGCTGTTTTTCAGTCTTCATAAAGCACATTAACACTGTTATTTTCTTCATAAAATCCATGTTAGCCATTTAGCTATGAAGCTAGAGTCTTCGGGCAGACAGAAGCCCTGGCCATCACGCAAATCCGCGTCTGTTCTGATGTGAATTTGACACGCGTATGAAGCTGGGTTTGACGCGCGTATGAAGCGTGTAAACTCAAATGTTCAGGCGGCTATTTACGCAAGAAGAGCGTGATTTATCCGCGTGTTCCGCATCTGGTGTGAACACAGCATTAGGCTAGTGAAATCCATGCTGAAGGTCCATGTCCATGCTAAAGGTCCATGCACTGGGGCGGCTCTAAGTCTAAGGCCATGGTGCTCCACCGGAAAAAGGTGGTTTGCCATCTCATGGTTGAAGGAAAGTCCTGAACAACAAATCGTTCTGAACTTCACACTGGAGTCGTTATCAATAAAAATCAATTTATCGCTTAAGCCCTCCTGTTCAAACTATTTGCCTTAGTAATGTTAAATCAAAGTGGTTAAACAAAAAAAAAATCTACTGGACTTTATTTCTAAATGTATCGTAAAAAAAATATTCAATAATTATCGATACCAAATGATAGGAAACATTATATGGTAATCATTTTTTATTGCTGTATCACCCAGCCCTATGATATATTGTGCAGCCCTAGTTCAAATCAAACCACACTCAAATTTGAGACGATTTTGAGTAGTTTGAATGCAAACCTTGACGGCGTTGCCTCTGATGAAGCGTTTGATGGTGGAGAAAATGCCCGTGTCTCGCTTCTGCATCTTGGCGTCTTCAGTGGACAAACTGTGCTCCACCTCGGAGTGCTTCCTTTTGGTCTTGACGGTCCGGGCGGACGGGGTGGCGCTCCGCTGCTGAGATGCTTTACGCACTCTCAGCCTCATTGTCCCAAAAGTCACATGTAAGACTGGGAAAGAAAAAACAAAACAGATAATCTACTATGAAAGTGCACCATGCAAATTCAATCCGGCTTCATTAAAACGAAACTAATATATGCAGTTCTTAAGGAATTCCATTGCGGAGGACAGTCATGGCAACTCATGAGAAACAATGGGATTTCTCTCCTGCTGGCATTGACTAGAAAGGTCTCCACAGCACCCTACTGGCTTTCTTTAACAGTGTCACAGAAAGAGAGGGAAAACACCAACAAACATCTCAAGAAGATGATGGGTTTAACCCCACAGCTCGCTGACATCTTGACACAGATGATCTTGCATATGGGATCTGTGAGATTAACAAATGGTAATGGGTGTCATTCAGTGATGTATTTGTGACCCAAGGTCTAGCACACAATATTGGCTGCAATAAGTTGCACGGTGGTCCAGAGATTGACTGTGGCTGAGAGATCCTCGGGTGCCGTCTTTCATTATCTGATCAAACAGTGGCAAAAGCACCTGGAAAAAATCTATATTGGAATACAAATTACAATAACAAAATAGAATGAATATGTACTTTAAATTTTATTTATTTAATAAAATTAATATCGTAAGATAATGATTTCCCATATATATATATATATATATATGAGCAAGTCCAGCGTTATAGATGTGACATTTGCAGTAAAAACTCAAAACAAAGACACATAGAAAGTATATGTTAACATTATATCGAAACTTTATTTTTTTTTTTTTTCAAAACATCTGGGTGCAGTTTCAAAAAAGTGGTTTAAAAAAGCAGAGATTAAAGTCAAAATCCTGACTTCAATGAGCCGAACTAAATGTCCACACTTAAACTGGTTCCATAACAGCAAGTTGAAGATCATTTGATCTAACTAAGAGTTCAGTTTGAATAATCTAGATAACAGCTCGTGCACATTACTGTTGTAAAACCCTTAAGGTCGAGCGTAGATGCATCGATTATGTTGCGTGCTACCATGGCAATGAGAACTGAAAGAGCTCTGAAATGAGACACAGCTGTTCACAGCGAGTGAGCCGCGTTGGTTTTTAGAGTTCAAACATATAATAATTTCAACATAATAATCAAAAGTTACAGTACGGCTTGCAACAAAGCAAGAGAGAAGGCTGACAGAAAATTGCATCCTATAATTAATATAGGCCAATATTTAGTTTAAATTGATAGTATTTGTCAAAAAAATCAAATTGTTCTTGTGCATGCGCGCGAGAGATATATTTATAGCTTAGTACACTCATCACAGATATCTCTTTAAAATTTATATTTTCTACAGGATGCTTTACAATATTATCTATGTGCAAACAGCAAAAGCAATTTTTTAACTAATCTAACAAAAAAATAATAAACTGAAGATCACAGTCCAAAAATTAGTACACCCAAATTAATATGTTGAGGGAAAATATTAAATAACATTTTAATAATCAGAAAAAAAGAAGAAGAAAAAAACAGAAACATAAAAATACATTTAATAAGTATTAAAGATGTTTGGTGTGTGTGTGTGTGTGTGTGTGTGTATGTGTATATATATATATATATATATATATATATATATATATATATATATATATATATATATATATATATATATATATATATATATATATATATATATATATATATATATATATATATATATATATATATATATATATATATATATATATATATATATATATATATATATATATATATATATATATATAAATAAATATATATATACACACACAAATATATATAAATATATATATATATATATATATATATAAATATATACACACACACACACACACACACACACATTATTAAATTACTATAATGTTTTAATCATTATTAAGAGGAGGTTAAGTGAATTAAAATGGCATCAAATTACAGCAGGTGAATGTTAATATTACCTTGATTAGGCTTGAACTTAAGACTTAGCCTGAGAGTTAACCTGCCCCGGACCAGGCTAGTTTCCCAGCATAAGTTTCCAGAGTAACTGAGATTGAACTATCGTAATTTTGATTTATGAAACCGAATCCGCCAATGATAAGTCTGACTTGCCAAAATTAGCCTAGCTTTTTCCGTATTTTTACAGGTTTATAGAAAAGGCCCCTGACCACAGACCAGAAAAATATCAATCAGTACACATGTTTTGTACTTTAAACCCGCAGACATTTTTTGTCACATTCATAACACATGTTTTTTTTCCTCATTTACAGTCGACAGCATATTTTGTAGAAATTCTGTGAATTAAACTGCACAACCCAAAAGAAACAATAATAATCAAGAGGAGAAGTGTTAGCTCACTATAAAACAAACATGATTGGCTTTATTTTATTTAATATTTTCACACTTATGAGGAAACAGTGTTGTTATGGATGTGACATCTCTCCGTTAGGGATGTGACAGATGTGAAATTGCCACTGGTGTGACTTTGGTACATCAAATAGAATAGTCTGACAACATTGACAGAGGCATTTTTGAGTATTTCTAAATACTTACCCAAAAAAAAAAAAAACAGAAACAGTTTCCGTATACTAGTGAAATATTTTTTTTTTCACAGTAAGGTTAATTAATTTTTTGCATAAAATGAGATAAATGTTATGTTTCATGTGCTCAAAGTTTTTTTTACATACATAATCCCAATCCACAAAACTAGTAATAAGTGTCAATTTTTTAAAACTGAAGTTTATATATATAAATAAATGAATGAATGGATGTATTAATTCAGCTTTCATGCAAGGATAGGACAATATTTAGCCGAGATAACACTTGAAAATCTGGAATCGGAGGGTTCAAAAACTTATTTAAAATTATTTATTTTTAATTGATATATTCACGGTAGTAAATTTCAAAAAATAAATTCATGAATGACGATTTTTACCTTTTTGGTACAGATTTTGGTATTGTTATAATTTAATAAGGAAACACTGGTTTTGTGGTCGATGGTAACACACGCACAGAGACAAAAAGGCTTTTCAAACATCAAAACAACAGTACAACACAGCTTGTTTGTTTTTTACATACAGAATGTGATTCGTTTAATTTAATTTTAATAGAATCAAATGACTAGCATACATGCCCTTTAGTGCAATTCAAAATCATTTTTCCACTATCCTATTTAAGCCCATTCATCAGCAAGACATTATTTAAATGATAAAGCTTAAATTATTACTTATTCTTGGAGATATAAACATTATAATTACATGTATAAGGTATGAATAGTATGTTTATTAACAAATATATTTATTACAGACAACAAAACTAGTATGTTAACATATTTAATATGTTTCATATGAATATAATGACTTTTATTCAACGAATTTGATGGGGACATCAACGCGGGAGGACTCATATAAACTAATACATAGCTAAGAAACATCATATAATATGATGCTCTAATAATGCTTCTCGGTCTGAAATTAAAAACTCCCGCGTGTTCAATATTTAACCAGATTCAAACGCTGCAGAGTGCGCGGTTGAGAATTTACACTACAATCACTTCTAACGTTACCAATATGACAATGATGATGTGTAGAAAAATCGTTTGGTCATTATTATATATTGCGCGAGTTTTCTTGAGCGCATCGGTATGTGCAGCAGAAATAAACTAGTGAAAGTCTTCAGATGTGTTGAAGTGGGCGGGGGTGAATCATGTCTGCTTTGCTTGTTGAATCTAAACAAATCTAGCTTGCCTTTACCTGTCGATCCCTTCCAGCATATTTCCGTAGTGCACGACGTTTTATAATCTGGGGTCGACACAAAAAAACTAACATACACTGCCTATCCGAGAATCTGTTGTCAGTTCGCGCCTCCAAGCTACGTTATTTAAGCTAAAAAAAATGGTCGCGCGCAAGTTAGCAGGACGATCGGTTTGTGGATTTCAGAACAAAACAATAAAACCGCCAACAACTGTGGCACGTATAAAATAGGCCCAGCGACTTCGGGATACCCTGGCCAATTTTTCCATCCCTATAACACGTTAAATTTGTACGGGAATGTTTGACTCCGAGGGCGTTTGAACGTCAGCGGCTAACGCTAACAGATGACTTGTTGGCTGTCTCGCGACAACCGCGCACGAGCTGCTTTACACTGTAAACACGCAGAGGAAAATAACAAAGATCGGGTTCAAAAATGATCTTGTGTTTCAGTTTTACTTCTAAAAAATCAACACCGGTTAAATGTCTTATGATAAAACATTTGCGCGGGCCGTCTTCATCTGCATGAAGAACATGTTTTCAGTACGGAGGGGGCGAGTCGTGAAGACGCGAGATTTCAAAGCACTGCGACCGTGGCGTAGGGTTAAATATTTATTTTTGCATGTATGTGATCAAAATAGCTGCTGTTTAAACACTTACATGCCAGGGGTCGCGACGACACGGTGTAGAGGTGGTTGTGGAAGTGGCCGCGGCCCGCGACAGCGTCTGTCGGTCAGTTTCTCCGCTGAGTGTGAGTCACAGAACGACAGATAGATCTGCTACAGCTGCTCGGGACGCCATTTCCCGCCTCCTCTCAGAGGGATTCTTGCGAAGAACCCGGATGATGCTCTGTACTACCGAGCATGCGCGGAGATGTTGGCGGACTGTAGCGTTGTGTTATTCAAGTCAGTGTTACTGTGTTGAAGAAAACATCTGTCTGTCTTTTCATCTATCTATCTATCTATCTATCTATCTATCTATCTATCTATCTATCTATCTATCTATCTATCTATCTATCTGTCTGTCTGTCTGTCTGTCTGTCTGTCTGTCTGTCTGTCTGTCTGTCTGTCTGTCTGTCTGTCTGTCTGTCTGTCTGTCTGTCTGTCTGTCTGTCTGTCTGTCTGTCTGTCTATCTGTCCATCTGTCTGTTTGTTTATCTGTCTATCTATCTTTCTAACTGTCTGTCAGTCTGTCTATAACTTTCTATCCGTCCGTCCGTACATCTGTCTGTCTATCTATCTATCTATCTGGCTGTCTGTCTTTCTATCTATCTATCTATCTATCTATCTATCTATCTATCTATCTATCTATCTATCTATCTATCTATCTATCTGTCTGTTTGTCTTTCTGTCTGTCTATCCTTCTGTCTGTCTATCTGTCCATCCGTCCGTCCGTCCATCTGTCTGTCTATCTATCTGACTGTCTGTCTTTCTACCTATCTATCTATCTATCTATCTATCTATCTATCTATCTATCTATCTATCTATCTATCTATCTATCTATCTATCTATCTATCTATCCATCTGTCTGTCTGTCTATCCGTCTGCCTGTCTGTCTGTCTGTCTATCCTTCTATCTGTGCCTGTCTGTCTATCTGTCCATCCATCTGTTTGTCTATCTTTCTATCTGTCTATCTATCTAACTGTCTATCTAACTTTCTGTCTGTCCGTCTGTCTGTCTATCTATCTATCTGTCTGTATATCTGTCCATCAGTCTGTCTGTTTGTCTATCTTTCTGTCTATCTGTCTGTCTGTCTATCTATCTGTCCATCCGTGTCTGTATATCTGTCTGCCTGTCTATCTGTCCATCCTTCTGTCTGCCTGTCTATCTGTCTGCCTATCTATCTATCTATCTATCTATCTATCTATCTATCTATCTATCTATCTATCTATCTATCTATCTATCTATCTATCTGTGTGCCTGTCTGTCTGTTTGTCTATCCTTCTGTCTATCTGTCTGTCTATCTATCTGTCCATCCATCTGTTTGTCTATCTGTCTATCTATCTAACTGTCTATCTAACTTTCTGTCTGTCTATCTATCTATCTATCTGTCTGTATGTCTGTATATCTGTCCATCAGTCTGTCTGTTTGTCTATCTTTCTGTCTATCTGTCTGTCTGTCTATCTATCTGTCCATCCGTCTGTTTGTCTATCTGTCTAATAGTCAGATATCTAATCAGTGAGTGAAAATACAAACTTCATAAAGAACTTGTTTTTTTATTTTCAAACATTGGCATCTGAAATAAAAGAGTTACTCGTGATGTCAAGGACATGATTTTTGTAAAAAGTAATATACAGCACTGTTATAAGAAATTGTTAGCAAACTATATTTTAAAGCAGGCACATCACTGACAGATACATATATTTTTATAATGACAATGAATGCAGCTTTGCTCTGTTGTTCTATTGCTCTATTTCATCCCCAAATGCATCATGGTCCGGTATGGTCCTGGGCCTCCCCAAATCCCCCTTAATATGAAGTAATGAAAGGAAGATACAAAATTAACATGAGGATTGTAATTAAGCGTGTTAAGTTGTGTTTAGCATGTGATCAGTACTCACTTGAGGAGTCCGTGCCAATACAAATGAGGCATGACATCAGCTTTCATGTGGTACATGACCCTGCTCTCTTTACTCTGGTCTACAACAGGGAAGGTCTCCAGCGGCTGCCCGTCATAGTCAAACTCTGCCAAAATCACTGTGTTGTAGCTTGTAACCAGAGGACATGAGGTGTAGCCATCATACTGCAAAAGGCACAACACAAGTAGTAATAAATATAAAGTATAATCATATGTAAGATTTAATATAAATTAGTAATAGTGCTCAAATAAATGTAGTTTACCTACTCTCACCGGCCACTTTATTAGGTACACCTGTCCAACTGTTTGTTAACGCAAATTTCTAATCAGCCAATCACATGGCAGCAACTCAATGCATTTAGGCATGTAGACATGTTCAAGATGATCTGCTGCAGATCAAACCGAGCATCAGAATGAGGAAGAAAGGGAATTTAAGTGACTTTGAACATTGGAATAGCTGTTGGTGCAATACGGGCTGGTCTGAGTATTTCAGAAACTGCTGATCTACTGGGTTTTTCTGCACACAGCCATCTCTAGGGTTTACAGAGAATAATCCAGAAAAAAGTAAATTTCCAGTGAGCGGCAGTTCTGTGGGCGCAAATGCCCTGTTGATGCCAGAGGTCAGAGGAGAATGGCCAGACTGGTTCCAGCTGATAGAAAGACAACAGTACCTGAGGTATGCAGAATAGCATCTTTGAACGCACAACAATTCCAACCTTGAGGCAGATGGGCTACAGCAGCAGAAGACCACACCGAGGGCCACTCCTGTCAGCTAAGAACAGGAAACTGAGACTACAATTCACACAGGCTCACCAAAACTGGACAAGAGAAGATTGGGAAAACGTTGCCTGGTCTGATGAGTCTTTATTTCTGCTGCAACATTCGGATGTTAGGGTCAGAATTTGGCATCAACATCCTGCCTTCTATAAATGGTTCAGGCTGGTGGTGGTGGTGTAGTGGTGTGGGGGATATTTTCTTGGCACACTTTGGGCCCATTAGTACCAATTGAGCATTGTGTCAACACCACAGCCTTCCTGAGTATTGTTGCTGACCATGTCCATCCCTTTATGGCCACAGTGTACTCATCTTCTGATGGCTACTTCCAGCAGGATAACGCACCCTGTCATAAAGCGTGAATCATCTCAGACTGGTTTCTTGAGCATGACAATGAGTTCACTGTACTCAAATGGCCTCCACAGTCACCAGAACTCAATCCAATAGAGCACCTGTGGGATGTGGTGGAACGGGAGATTCACATCATGGATGTGCAGCCGAAAAATCTGCAGCAACTGCGTGATGCTATCATGTCAATATGGAGCAAAATCTCCGAGGAATATTACCAGCATCTTGTTGAATCAAATGATTGAGGCAGTTCTGAAGGCAAAAAGGGGTCCTACCCTGTACTAGTGAGGTGTACCTAATAAAGTGACCAGTGAGTGTTTAGTTGTGCACATTCACTGATTTTACCCCTACTTATTTGTTTGTGATGGTTTACTCTGCCTTTATTGGGCTGTTTCAAGTTATATTACGAGAAACGAAAGCGAAAGAAAGACAGAGCAACAGTTGTTTTTTCAACCAGAACTAAACCAGTCAATTTATTGCTCGACTGATTTCCCAAAAATTCTGGGTTCACCCAAAAATTAAAAGTATTATTATGTACTGACCCTTCACACAGTTTATTTTTCTTTTGTTGAACACAGAATAAGATATTCTGAAGAAACATGTAACCATTGGCTTCCATAGTAGGAGAAACTAATACCATGAAGGTCAATGCTTTCAAGTTTCCAGCATTCTTCAAAGTATCTTCTTTTGTGTTCAACAGTAGAAAGTGAGTAAATGTTGGCAGTATTTTAATTTTTATCTTTCCCTTTAATTATTGCATTCACAATTTGGATAATTAATAAATGCATTATGTATGTACATATGAATGTACTTGCTATTTTTGTGTCGTTATATAATGAGGCATACCAGCATGTTACAAGTACTATTTCTGTAACAAGTAGTCATAATGTGCATACTACGCTTGCTGCATCCCACATTCCAATGCACTTGTCTTATATTTCCTGTAATAGTGCAACAGGTGAATATAACAGAAGAAATATCAGCTTCATTTTGCAGGTTGCTTATTTACTATAGTTATAGCTATTCTTAAATATAGTTTTTTGTCTGACTCTATTTCAGGTTTAAATTTATTTGACGTTAAATACTTTTTTTTTGCCTTTCAAGTTATTGGACAGTAGAGGGCAGACAGTTTCCAGTTCCAGACACAGCCGCAGAGCACAGAGAACAGTTGACTTCTGCAATCGAACACAGAGCTGCTGCGAGATCTGAAGTTGTATGTGCTAATCTTGATCCGTTTGCATTATAATTTTTGACAGCAAATACTACATTTGATTGCTTTTAGAAATCGCACAAGCAAAACGCATCCCTATCACTTTTTTTGTCTGCACATTCCCATGAGGTACTATGAATAAAGTAATTGAGTCACTTCACTACACCTTTAGAAAAACATAAAAAGTGTCTGTATGTATGTGTATATATTAGGGATGTAACAGTATTGTAAATACCGTCATACCGCAATATTAATTTTTTTCGATATTACCGAAGTCGCATGACTCGGTAAAACTATAGGTCTTCTGAGAAAATTTGCTCAGGCGAATGAAGCGAACGGGAGGTAGCGAAAACTACAATTCCCATCAGCCCATGCTTGACCATCATCTCTTGCGGTCTGTTGTCGCTACAGATCCAGTAATGCGGAAATGGAGTGTGCTGCTAGAAGCGGGGATGAAAAAGAGCCGGAAAACTCTAAAGCGGGTGTTGTCGCCGCGCACGTACTGAATAGCAGTGTTGTCGCGCAAGTTCTTATCAGCTGTGTTGTCGCGCGCGTACTGAATAGCGGTGTTGTCAGCACACTGTTCAGATTGATGCAGACATGAGATCTCTATCTTACTCATGGTTTGTCCTCTCAAGTGGGGGAAAGACAATGCACAACGTTACCCACTGCTGTCAACCTTGGCCAAGTCATATCTCTCTTGTCCCAGAAACCTCAGTCCCAAATGAGAGGGTTTTTTCTGTTGCAGGGGACATTGTAAATGCCCAGAGATACCAGCTTTTACCAGATTATATTTATATGATAATTTTCCTTTAAACCCATCTCTATCTAAGTGAGTGAGTGATTAAATGTTGAATGTGATGAGTTTTCAACAATACTAAATTGAAACTTAATTTTT